ACATGCCATTCCATTTCCCATTAGACAGAAAATAATACTGAGGCAAAAACAGTTATCAGTAATAGTAGCTAATAGATATTGAGGCTTTATGTGCAAGTCACTGTTCTAAGTACTTTACATATATTAAGTCATTTAATCTTTAGAACAATCTAGAAGTAAATACCACAGTTATCCTGGTCTTGTAGACTAGAAAGCTGACATAAAGAAGTTAGTTCTTACTCAAGATCAACGTAGCTTTGGGAATCTGAGGCGGGAAGATCTCTTGAGCCCCAGAGTTCGAGACCAGCCTGGGCAACACAGTGAGACCCCATCTCTACAAAAAGTATAAAAAATTACCTGGCATGGTAGCACACACCTGTAGTCCCAGCTATTCAGGAGGCTGAGGTGGCAGGATCCCTTGAGCCCCGGGAGTTGAGAGGTTGAGACTGCAGTGAGCAGTGTTTACAAGGCTGCACATGCCTGGGCGACAGAGCAACCCTGCATCCCCCCAAAAATACAAAAACAAAAAGCTCAACATAGTTGCGAAGTGCAACATAGCAGCAGGAGGTGGAGGGGCGCTTAGAATCCCTGCAGTCCACTCTCTCCCTGGACTTTATGCTCTACCACTGCATTATTAAAGACTCCCATTGAACTTAATAACTGCCCAGTCAGGAGGGCACAGACTGGATTGTTACCCTTCTTCATCTACCCCTTGGCTTCAATAGGCTGTCTTCCAGGCTCTGTCTTCAGAGTGAGGCAGAATGCTTTATTGTTTGTGTACCCATCGACTTGAGCCACACGCAAATGCCTGCCCTTGACTAACCCCTTCACTGATCTGTTCCCATAAGCTGTTACCTGCACTGAGTGTAGTCACCAGGCGGGACATGGTCTGCCTTTTTACAGTTGCTATCTGGAGCCTCTATAAATGCTTGGAGCTTAAATCTTACAATTTTTTTTTTTGAGACGGAGTCTCACTCTTATTGCCCAGGCTGGAGTGCAATGACGCGATCTCAGCTCACTGCAACCTCCACCTCCTGGGTTCAAGCGATTCTTCTGCCTCAGCCTCCCAAGTAGCTGGGATTACAGGCATGCGCCACCATGCCCAGCTAATTTTCTATTTTTCTAACCCCATAAAGATGGGGTTTCTATGTTGGTCAGGCTGGTCTTGAACTTCCGACCTCAGGTGGTCCGCCCGCCTTGGCCTCCCAAAGTGCTGGGATTACAGGCATGAGCCACCGTACCTGGCTTTTGTTTTTTGAGACAGCGTCTTGCTCTGTCTCCCAGGCTGGAGTGCAATGGCATGATCTCAGCTCACTGCAACCTCTGCCTCTTGGGTTCAAGCGATTCTCCTGCCTCAGCCTCCCGAGTAGCTGGGACTACAGGTGCCTGCCACCACGTCCAGCTAATTTTTATATTTTTAATAGAGACGGGGTTTCACCATGTTGGCCAGGATGGTCTCGAACTTCCGACCTCAGGTGGTCCGCCCACCTTGGCCTCCCAAAGTGCTGGGATTACAGGCATGAGCCACCGTACCTGGCTTTTTTTTTTTTTTTTGAGATGGAGTCTTTGCCCTGTCGCCAGGCTGGAGTGCAGTGGCGCCATCTCAGCTCACTGCAACCTCTGCCTCTTGGGTTCAAGCGATTCTCCTGCCTCAGCCTCCCGAGTAGCTGGGACTACAGGTGCCTGCCACCACGTCCAGCTAATTTTTATATTTTTAATAGAGACGGGGTTTCACCATGTTGGCCAGGATGGCCTCGATCTCTTGACCTTGTGATCCGCCTGCCTCGGCCTCCCAAAGTGCTGGGATTACAGGCGTGAGCCACTGTGCCCGGCCGAGATGATGATGCTCTGGACTTAATAACTTTGATCAGACCTTCTAAACCCAAATTTGAAGTGAGGAGCAGACCTCTAGAATATCTAGGATACATGATGGCTAGAGACACACGTGTAGCTTTTAATAGATGTAGGCTAACAGCTGCCATTTTTCCATCCTCTAAATACATAATCCTATTTTCATTTTCCCCAGAACCCTGCAAGGCAGTGGTTTCACTTCCTAAAAGAAACTGGCAGGATAGGGACCTTACCATAGATCAGAGTTCTGGGAGAAGGGAACTGAACCAGATCCCTTGCAGCTGTCCCTAGACTTCCCTGACCCGATCCTTGCTTTCTTTCCAGACCCCATGCCACAGCTGGATGTGACTGAGGCCAACAAAGAGTTCATGGAACAGAGTGAGGAGCTGTATGATGCTCTGATGGACTGTCACTGGCAGCCCCTGGACACAGTGTCTTCAGAGATCCCTGCCATGATGTAGCCAGGCCCAAGGACGAGCCAGGCTGCACTATGTGAGGGAGATTAGAGACTCCTTTTTAAAAAAAAAAAAAATGTGAAACCTTTTTGGAAATATGATTTGTAAGATTTTAATGACTGTTTCTGGAGATCATGAGTATTTCTACAACACTGCTGCATTCATTTGACCGTTTGAGTTTGAAGACCACGGGAACAACTTTTAAACAAGGTTCAAATTGCTTTCCTTCACAGGAATCCTTTGTCCAGGCAGTTATCCACTCCTGGACACAGGATAGTTTGGGGTTACCCAAAACTGGGATGAGCAGCTTGGGATGATCCACACACTAAAGCCTGGGTTATCGGCTTCTCAGTTATGTAAATCAAGGCTCTCTGGAGTATTTATAGTACCTGCTATTCTAACTTTAGAGTCTGCAGCTAGGTAGGGCACTGTAGCAGGGGCGGAGCACACCCCTAGGAGGTAGGATGTGGTGGGGTGATAGGGCAGGCCAGTTGGCCTAAGAATGCTCACAAGAATAGGTTTCATCTTATTTTCATCTTTTTTTGTATATTCAGTATCTGCATATACAAGGCCTGGCTGGATCACTTTAGGGTCATTATGGGAGATAAGCCGCTCAGAAAGTTGAAATATGGGAGAAGGCAGCTCCTCCATATGAACTTTGGAGAATGGGGAAGCACCCATACTTGCTGGCCCCTCTGGGGCTTATGATAAAAGCTGTATCTGATTCTAGTTTTGTGCTAGAGCAATTTTGGGGGCTTACTGCTTGAGGCAAAGCATTCATTGTAGATCACAAAAAAAATCTCCAAAGGGCTGGGCATGGTGGCTCACTTTGGGAGGTGGATTGCTTCAGCTCAGGAAGAGACCAGATTTGTAGAGACCAAAAAAATACAAACACAAATATACTTTTATCAGTCTTTATTAATCTTCAATTGATCTACACCTGGAGCATGCTGTTGTTTCTACCTAAAATGACCGGGGTCTTGCCTTTTGCGTCCCATAGAGATTCTCCTGCAAAGGAAGTATAAGCCATTGTGTTAGAAATTCCCAGATTTCCCCCACACCTAGGCATTTTCCTAGGAGCTGGTCTCAGTCCCATATCCGCATTTCTCATCCATGGATGTCCACTCAGATTAGGTTTCATCCTGGACCAGTCATTCTAAATAGTGTGTGCTACATGGAACCCCTTGAAGTCCTACCAAAGAATGCATCATGAGCTCCAGCCACCACTGAACATTTGCGGCTACCAGGCCTTGTGGCCCACGGTGCCCTCTGCTGCCTTCAACTTCCAGCAATATGTGGTCTTGCAGGGTGGGCAAATCATGTTCTAAGCACCTTTGCCCTCTGGTAATGAACAGCTAACAGGGCACACGAGGAAGGCCAAATGTAAATGTTACTGAAATGCCTGTAATCCTAGCACTTTGGTAGGCCAAGGCAGGCAGATCACCTGGGGTCAGGAGTTCAAGACTGCCCTGGGCAACATGGCAAAACCCTGTCTCTACTTAAAATACAAAAATTAGCCGGGCATAGTGGTGCATGCTTATAGTCCCAGCTACTCAGGAGGCTGAGGCAGAAGAATCACTTGAACCTGGGAGACGGAGTTTGCAATAAGCCAAGATCATGCCACTGCACTCCAGCCTGGGTGACAGAAAGACCCCATCTTAAAAACAAAAAACAAAACAAAACAAAACTTTGACACAGACCTAAGTAACCTTATAGTTCTATTAGGCTGACTACTTAGGACAGGATCCCCGAAAACTGAGCACTACCTGCAGCTACACGCTGACAGAGCTTCGGGTGGTCACTAACTTACCCAACTCCATAGGTCCAGTCACACGAGGACAGCTTTGCATGTAACATGAATCTAAAAGAAAACAACACCTTAATTAAGAGGCAAGAAAGCTATGACAGATCCCTCCCAAATGCTATTACTATACCAACCTCCAGAGCTTCATACACATCCTTCCCTTAGCCTATATTTCATTTTACAATTTCAGAGATCCAGCCATCTCTGAACCTGTCTGAAACTAGCCCACATGCCATATACCAGATTACAACATTCAGGCCAGCTTCACTATTACTTTTCCTCCTTTTACGACCACCAAGACCGGTGTTCAGATCCGATGGGAAAGGGAACAGGAGGATTAAGCTGTGTTCCACATCAACTTTACCTTAAAGCACAGCTCCAGAAACAAGCTCACCTCCTCAGGATCACACACGGCCAGGAAACTTGGGGGCAACCTGCAGAACAAAAAGCTTAGTGTGGCCGGGCGCGGTGGCTCAAGCCTGTAATCCCAGCACTTTGGGAGGCCGAGACGGGCGGATCACGAGGTCAGGAGATCGAGACCATCCTGGCTAACACGGTGAAACCCCGTCTCTACTAAAAAATACAAAAAACTAGCCGGGCGAGGTGGCGGGCACCTGTAGTCCCAGCTACTCAGGAGGCTGAGGCAGAAGAATGGCGTGAACCCGGGAGGCGGAGCTTGCAGTGAGCTGAGATCCGGCCACTGCACTCCAGCCTGGGCGACAGAGCGAGACTCCGTCTCAAAAAAAAAAAAAAAAAGCTTAGTGTGAAAGCTAAACTGGCCAAGAGTGGTGGTTCATGCCTGTAATCCCAGCATTTTGGGAGGGGAGGCCAAGGGGGCGAATCACCTGAGGTCAGGAGTTCCAAGACCAATCTAGCCAACACGGTGAAACCCATCTATACTAAAAATACAAGAAAATTAGCTGGGTGTGATGGCGGGCACCTGTAATCCCAGATACTCGGAAGGCTGAGGCAGGAGAATCACTTGAACCCAGGAGGTAGAGGTTGCCGTGAGCCAAGATCGTGCCACTGCACTCCAGCCTGGGTGACAGAGCGAGACTCCGCCTCAAAAAAAAAAACACCCATCTACATTGGAAGTTGACACGTGGAAGGCTTCCAGCCCTGGTCCTGAAACATTATAGGAAAGCTGAGTGGCAGCTTGCAGGTATTGTACTGACCTGCGCTGTCAAAGTCTTTCCAGGTTGCTCTTGCATGCAGTTGGAGATCCCATGGCTACCACCAGCCACAGCCCTTGGAAACATGCTGTTCTGTCCCACCAGGGAGCCCCCAGTCAGTCTCCAAAAGAAACCTACCAGGTCCCCTGCATTTCATCACTGATGTGACCCCGGGAGTCCTCGATCACCAGACAGATCACCTTCTGTCATCTCAGAGTCTTCATCTGGACAGCAAAATGAGAACAACTGTCAAGAACAATTTTATTGGTCCCATCATTTGGTCCTCAGAACGATACAAATCTAACCAGCCTTTGGTCCGAATACTGATGCTATCAGTTAAGCTGTGTCACATCCCAGCTGGATTTTCCCAGTACGGGAATCTTATGCTGGTTAACTGTACATGCAAACCCCCAACCGTTCTGCTGGTCTGTGGAAACAGGCCCATTTTGATAAAGGTCTCTGGCTACAGCTGAAAGATAGCAAGTATAATGGAACTGTATTTTCCCAAAATGTTGCAGATCAGTTACAACAAACAGAACGGCGACCGTCAAGGAAAACTGTCACTCTGGGCTCCTTTTTGACCACAGCAGCTATGCGGAAGCAGCTGCAGCTTCGATAAGGGCCAAGGGGCAATTCAGATCCCAGGGCAGCCACCTAAAGCCTCACCTGTCCATCATTACTACCTGCTGAAGTGCGCCGGAATCTCTGTTGACTAAATCAGTCATCCTGTAGGCCCCACTGCCCACGCTGTGCCAATATTTGGTGTGCTTTTTCTCAATCTTGATGGGATCTTTTTATCCGCCTATTACAGATAAGAGGTTTAGACCGATTAAGTTACTTGCTGAAGGTCGCTTAGTCACTTAGCGAGGCTGAAAGCAACAAGCCGGGATGCACACAAGGGTCTGAATGCCTAAAACCCGTCCTTCTGGAAAGCGTGTCCACGAGGGCGACCTCCAGAGGCCTCGCGCGCAGTCACTAGTCCCAAAATCACCTAGCTGGTAACTGTCATAGATTCAACTGGAGGCCATCCTGACACCAGCATGCGGCCTCCCCCAAATTAAGACACTTCAGGCCCAGGGCTTCATCCCCGCATCCCCCAGGAGACCGGTCCCAAAACCCCTTCCGTAAACCCGGCCGCCTGCCGGCAACATTCACCTGTCAGCCCAGAGCGCAGAGTTGCGCAGGCCGAAGCGAGAGAAGGGCGCGGCCCCAGCGGGATCCGACCCCTCTCAAGACCGAGGGTCCCTTCTGGAACTCGGGCCCACTGGGAAGGAAGGTCGGACTCCTCCGTGCCACGTTCACCACCATATCGAGGCCTTGGGAGAAAGCCCCGGCGAGTGCGGGCTGGTAGCAGCAACTAGCGGGCTATGGCTTGCAGGGAGGTAAGAAGAGCCTTAAATATGGTGAGCCCGCAACAAGGTTGCGGCGGGGAAAAAGGGCGCCGCAGCTCCGTGCAAGAGCTTATATAGGCTGCCCCTCGCGGTCACGCCCGACAGTCGGCCGCGCGCGTGGCGCACAGCTGCCTGGGAATTGTAGTTTGCTCGCCCCTGCGTTGTCCGCGCGTCACCTCCCCAGCCCTACGCGCGTTTCCATCCCCAGCCCGCGAAGCGCGAACCGCCGGAGGCTTTCCTTCGAGCGGGAAGAAGCGCCTTCACCTTTCAGTGCTCGGCAGTGGGCCCACGCAGGAAGCCGACCCGCCTTGGTCTCTGGAGTTGTCTCCGGGATATCTTTCAAAGTCTGGAAATGAACCCCGTGTGCTGGGAAAGGGCTTGGGCCCTGCTCACAGTTCTGTGGGAGTGCGAGCGAGCAGCGCCTGAATGGGTTTCGGCGAGGGGGTCATACTCCCCGAAAGGCAATTTCGATATTCAAGGCTTGTCTCTTTCACTAATATATAATTTTACTGAGCGCGTGCTATTTAAACTGTGCCTGATTATCTGATCTAGTTTTCATAAAAACCCTGTGTATGCTCTGACAAATAAGGAAACTTGGCCGGGCGCAGTGGCTCATGCCTGTAATCCCAGCACTTTGGGAGGCCGAGGTGGGCGGATCACAAGGTCAGGAGTTTGAGACCAGCCTGGCCAACACTGTGAAACCCCGTCTCTACTAAAAATACAAAAATTAGCCGGGCGTGATCGTGCGCGCCTGTAATACCAGCTACTCAGGAGGCTGAGGCAGGAGAATCACTTGAACTTGGGAGGCGGAGGTTGCAGTGAGCCGAGATCATGCCACTGCACTCCAGCCTGGGTGACAGAGCGAGACTCTGTCTCAAAAATATAAATAAATAAATACATAAAAATAAGGAAACTTAGGAATGGATCACACAGCTATTGCAAGCGAGGAGAGGACTGGAATTTGGAGCCCACCCCAGGCACCACACATAGCGCAATGTTTTGTGCATGGAATGAATAAGCCTCAGTATGAAAACTTAGTGGTGATTGCCGAGAATTAAACACCCATCCTGTGCCTAATCTATTAATTTTTATTTTATTTATTTATTTTTTTTTTTGAGACAGAGTCTTGCTCTGTTGCCCAGGCTGGAGTGCAGTGGCGCGATCTCGGCTCACTGCAAGCTCCGACTCCCGGGTTCACGCCATTCTCCTGCCTCAGCCTCCCGAGTAGCTGGGACTACAGGTGCCTGCCACTACGCCCGGCTAGTTTTTTTGTATTTTTAGTAGAAACGGGGTTTCACCGTGTTAGCCAGGATGGTCTCGATCTCCTGACCTCGTGATCCGCCCGTCTCGGCCTCCCAAAGTGCTGGGATTACAGGAGTGAGTCACCGCGCTCCGCTTAATTTTTATTCTTACATACACTTTTTTCTTTGAGACAGGGTCTTGTTCTGTTGCCCAGGCTGGAGTGCAGTGGCCTGATCAAGGCTCATTGCAGCCTCGACCAACTGGGCTCAAGCAATTCTCCCACCCCAGCCTCCCAGGTAGATGGGACTACAGGTGCAGGCCAAGTTTCCTTGCTTACACTTTAAAAAGTAGGTACTACTTTAGCAGGTTGTGGGTGGGCATGCCCTGTGGTCCTGGACTCCTCTCTTTCTCTAACATCAGGTGTCCAAGCCATCAGCAACTCCTGTGTGCTCTACCTTTAAAATGTATCAGTAATCTGTTTCTTACCCCTTCCACTGATATTACCCTAATCCTTGACCCAGATGATAGCAATAGTCTCCTATCTCTCAGATCCTGCTGTTGCTCCCGACAGTCTGGTCTCCACTTGTCAGCCAGCCTGCTAAAAGTTTTTAATTTTTACGAAGTCTAATATGCCAGTTTTTTCTTTTGTAGTTTATGCTCATTCAACTGGAGGCCATCCTGACACCAGCATGCGTGGTTCACACCTGTAATTCCAGCACTTTGGGAGGCCAAGGGGGGGTGGATGACCTGAGGTCAGGAGTTCAAGTCCAGCCTAGCCAACATGATGAAAACCTGTCTCTACCAAAAATACAAAAAATAGCTGGTCATGGTGGCGGGCGCCTGTAATCCCAGCTACTTGGGAGGCTGGGGCAGGAGAATCATTTGAACCCAGGAAGCGGAGGTTCGAAGTGAGCCAAGATGGAGCCATTACACTCCAGCCTGGGCGACAAGAGCGAGACACCGTCTCAAAAAAAAAAAAAAAAAATTAAAATTAAAATTATTAAACTTTTTGTTTTTTTTTGAGATGAAGTCTTGCTTTGTTGCCCAGGCTTGTGCAGTTTATTATGTGTCAATTATTTCTCAATAAAGCTGTCAAAAAACCAGAAGACTACAGGCGCGTGCCATCACGCCCAGCTAATTTTTATATTTTTAGTAGACACGGGGTTTCACCATGTTGGCCAGGATGGTTGTGACCTCCTGATCCACCCACCTCAGCCTCCCAAAGCGCTGGGATTACAGGCTTGAGCCACCGCGCCCGGCCCAACCCAGATCTGTTCTAATGCAAATGCAGATAACCTTAACTGCTGTGTCACGCGGCTCCTCCAGAACTACCCTGAGGTAGGTACCATGATTTGCCTGACTTAGCAGAAGAGGAAGCAGGGATTAGGGAAGGGAAATAACTTACCCCAGGTTATACAGTGAATCTGTGGCAGAGGTCAGCTGACATCTGGATTTAACTGCAGTCAGAGGCAGGCACATGATCCCAGCCCACAGTAGGAGCAGGGAGAGGGAGGAAGTTCAAGAAGCCAGATGCTGACAGTGCATTGCCCACGTGGGCTGACCGGAAAGTCCTCAGGGAGAGCTGGGGTCAGACTGCATTTCCAGCTGCTTCATGCCTCTCTAGAGTCTCCTTTCTCCTTGACCTTCCCAGATCCCGCTTATCCTTGGAGACTCAGCTTCAACATCAGCTGGGATGGGCTTCTCTGACCCTTTGGCTTCCTAAGTCCAGCTCCATCATGGTGTTTGACTGAATGAATGGATGGGTGAATGAACAGCAATTATCCACTTTCATTAATTCATCTAGCTATAAATATTTACTGAGCTTATTTTTTTTTTTTTTTTTTTTTGAGACAGAGTCTCGCTCTGTCACCCAGGCTAGAGTGCAGTGATGCGATCTTGGCTCACTGCAAGCTCCTCTCGGGTTCAAGCGATTCTTCTGCCTCAGCCTCCCAAGTAGATGGGATTATAGGCACATGCCACCATGCCCGGCTAATTTTTGTATTTTTAGTAAAAACAGAGTTTCACCATGTTGGCCAGACTGGTCTTGAACCCCTGACCTGAAGTGATCCACCCGCCTTAGCCTCCAAAAGTGCTGGGATTACAGATGTGAGCCACTGCGCCTTGAGTTTCTACTTTATGCCAAGCGCTGAGTTAGGCCCTGAGGATATAATCATCACCCCTGCCCTCAAGGAGCCTGCAGCCTAGGAGAGAGACTGACATTAGAGGTGGTCAGAAATACATGTGGGCCGGACATGGTGGTTCACACATATAATCTCAGCGCTTTGGGAGATGGAGGCGGGCAGATCACTTGAGGTCAGGAGTTCAAGACCACCTTGGCTAACATGGTGAAACCCTGTCTCTACTAAAAATACAAAAATTAGCTGGGCGTTGTGCCTGTAATCCCAGCTACTTGGGAGGCTGAGTTGGGAGGACAGCTTGGACCCAGGAGGTAGAGGTTGCAGTGAGCCGAGATCCTGCCACTGCACTCTAGCCTGGGCAACAGAGTGAGGCTCCATCTAAAAATAAATAAATAAATAAATAAAAGACTAGAGAGACTAGAGTTGTCTGGAGCAACTGGACCTCCAGCCTCAGTGCCCTGGGTTTCCAGAATGCCAGCCTGGAAAGGGTGGAGTAAACTTTGGAGGCTCGTGTGCTGCCTCACCCTAGCCCCTCACCCAAACAAAACTCAACCAGTGTCTTAGTGCTCGTGGGACCTGCTTTGTCCCCTTTTGTGGTATCAAATGGGTGACGAAGGATGAGACAAACCTGGATGTGAGTCCCAACTCTGCTGTGTGACCTGGGACAAGCCGTGCCTCTGAGCCTCAGTCTTCTCAGCGCTAAGAGGGGCACTCCCATGGCCCTATCAAAGGGTTGCTGTCCACAAAACATGAACTGACCTTTGGCCTCATACATATTAGTTTCCAAATCCACAGGCCAACTGCACTCCCTTTAGAATTGCAGTTGTCTGTGTCTGTCCTGCCTCCTCAACCAGACTGTGCCCAAGTTCCTTCTGGGGCCCTGGTGTCCAACTCAGACAGGCATTGGAGGAAGCCGTGGGTGCTGTTGAATGTTGAACCTAAACATTGAACTAGACGCCCCAGGCCAGGGCTAATGAGGGCTCCAGGGAAGGGCTTCTGGGTGGAGAGGGAGCACCTACAAACCACTCACTTCCCGAGTGGCCTTCCCGGGTCCAGCCGAGGGGTGGGGGCCAACTAGGGAACCCACGGCGGGCGGGGTGGAGCGGGTAAGGGGGTGGGGCTGGAGATGAAGGAATGAGTGAGGCCCCTCCCCACTTCATCTAGTTTAGTCCCTTTATCCTGTGAAGTAGGGGTCATCATTAGCCCCCTTTTACAGAGGAGAGAACTGAGGCTTCGAGAGAGAGAAACTTTGCCAGGAGTTTCCTCTCGGTCCGACCACCTCGGTGCCCCGCCAGGGGCGGTGGTAGGGCGCCGGGAGCAGGGGGCGGTGCGCGGCAGGGGGGG